ATTTGGTCCTCATGAAGCTCTGTATAAAAGAGCAGTGTATTTTGAATAAATCAGAGTTTTACTCTCACAGCCTTCTGATCAGAGTCTCTTCATTCCTGTCCTGCCTCGACAGCAACAGTACCTTATGCTGTTATGATCTTGGTTTATAAGAGGGAAATAATGGAAAGATGAATTTCCTAACAGAGCCAGGAGATGATGACACCTAGGACATCACAGAGCATGGTGCATGCTCTTTTCAACAGCAAGTGACAACACAGTATGAGAAATCCCACTAGCTTTTTCCTGAATGCTGAGAACCCAAACAGTTCCTGACTTGTTGGAGTTTCACCTACTCAACCATAATCTTCATCTCTCTCACTCCGGAGAAAATGTAAAAGTAGTTACAGAGATTTACTGCATTTTAAGGGCAAAGTACAAAAAGTTCAGAAACTTTTCCTATGTAAAGCAGAATAGTAAATTATAATAATAAACACAATGTTTACTAGACAGATGTATTCATTATCTCCAGAATTAAATGCAAATAACTTTGCATTCACTTGAAGACAGCAGGAGTTTCTTTGTTACAAAATTCAGTACCTGTGTATTCTTGCATTTGGAAGATAGGGTTCTATTAGATTTAGATCCCATGTGTTGCAGTTTGTGCAGCTTTATTTCTGCCCCTGAGTTATAGAGTTGTTCAGGCTTGTGAGGGGCAGGGGTCAAAATTACAGCTTCAGAGAAGACACAGCTTTTCAGCAGTATGTGGAAACTGTGACCTGGCAGTGCATTCAGAGAAACAGGAAAGATGCAACCCCCAACTCAGCAGCCAAATGAGTGAGAAAAACAATTTGTTGTGTTGGCTGCTGGTCTGAGGTCACCTGCAAATCCTATTAGACCTCATTTTCTACTTAAACAAAACATTACCAGATGTCTTATTCTTCTTTAACAAGACAGCCATGCTGTAAAAGCATGACTTGCATACAAATCCACCAATTTTAAAAAAGAAAATATGCGTTAAGCTCAGCTCTATATCTAACAGAATACCTCAGATGCTTCATGGTGCCAAGGGTTTCACCAACACCTACAGGAAATCAATCAAAGCCTCTAGCAGAAGGCTGAGGGAGGGGAGATGTGTGTGTAATCTCATTCCCGCCTACTGAGAGCCATTGAGAGCAGCAGCACCACCTTCAGCATTTCTCTGGAAAATATTAAGGGCTGGGGATGTGTTTTCGTGCCACCCACTACCCTCTCCCCCACCATGGGTGAACATGCCATCTTGCCCTCTTTAAAGCTTTCCCAGCTTCAGCAGCAGCAAGGCATTTAAGGGACTTGTTTTTATTTCCTCCTCTTTCCTCTTTAGGAAATCCTGTCCCGTTTTTGACGTGCTGCTCATAGTGACATCACCGAGTCAGTGACAGGGTGGTGGGGGACGCAGCCCCAGCCGTGTGGAGGTGATGTGCTGCTGCCTTCCAGAGACCTCCTGTCAGTGTTGTGCTGACAGGCAGAGCACTGACCCAGCCTGTGTCCTGCCCCCACAGTGCTGGGCCTTTCCTGGGCCGACTCAGAGCTGTTCCCATTCAGGGAAGGGCAGAAGCTTGGTAGGTTTGGTGTCCACGCTCCCTCTGAGGCCCATGTCGAGCAGTGGGTGCCTGTCCCAGGGAATGAGCCCTGAGGAGCACCAGCCATGCAGATCCCACGCCAGCAATGTGGGCAGGGCAGGACAAGCCCCCCTGGCACAGGGTTTATACTCTTGGGCAGGGACCATTTTGTCATCCAGGTTCATTCACTTGTCATTCTGTATTTGACCTTGGGATTGAGCTCAAATGCTGCATTTTGCCTTAGTGGAGAGTTTCTATGTTTTAGGAAACCATGGGTTTTTTGATGGCAAGCCTGGGTGTAGTGGCTGGTTGCCAATCCAGGCTCTAGATCTCTCTAGTAAAGTGAATTCAGATGGTGTGGAAACAAAGCGCTGGCCTGCTTCTTCATGCAGGGAAGCCATCCCTGCCCTAATCCCCTCAGGGTACAACCTTGGCAGTGCTGCTGGGGACACCTGAGGAAAGACCTCTTTTGCCTTGCATAGCAAGAGATGAGAAGGGGATAGAGAGAGAGAAACAGGTGTCCAATACTCGTGTGTCAGACCAGGAGGGAGTTTTCCCTTTGCCCTTTAGCAAATCACTCCCCTTCCACAGCTGTCAGACTGGTGGACATCAGCATTCATCTGATAGGAACTGATAGATCCCAAACTTCTGACCTCATTGCTGCATAGACTTCGTAAGAAAGCATAAAAATCAAGAACACAAAAGATTTTAACCACTCTATGATTATTCAGCTACTGAATGTTTTAATAAGAAAGAAAATTACAAGAAAGAGAAAAGAGTCTCTTCTATTTTATTTCAGTTCTGGCCACCATTGACAGTGATGAACCCAGCTCACCAAGCAGGGTAGCACAGGATGGGATGAGCTCTATGCAAATTCAAAATAATTCCATCTATAAAAAGTCTCCAATCTTTCTTCACTTCCATATCTCTTTAAAAAAAAATTAAATGTGTGCTTTAAAAGCATCTGCCCTCTGAAAAGCCAAAGGAATAAACATATGAGAGATAAAGCAAGATTAGTTGCTGATTGCAAAATTCTTGAATTGTATAAATATCTGTACAAAAGCAAACACTTTTTGTGATGGGGTGAGGAGATTTGGGTTTCTGGAGTTCTTGCCTGAGCCTGAGGAGAGTTGTTGCCCTACTGCATAGTACGGGTTCAAATGGGAGGTGGCCTCAGGTAGCTCTTGATGGGCTAAAAATGTCACTTTTAAACACAAGCTGTCTTCTCTCTTGGTGACTGATAAGAAACCCTCTAATCACATGAGGACACTGAGGTTCTTTACTGAAAGTTGCTTCTGTATGTGGCAAACTTTCAGCCAGTAGAAATGACTGTCCTGGAGCAGGGTGTCCCAGGGTAAATGCTGGGAACCAAGCAGCCTTCCTACAAGAGCTTCTAGGAAACCTCTGGAGGACACAGGCACCTTGAGCCAGGAGAACAGGCACAGTGTGAAAGCCAGGACTGGCTGGGAGCTCCCCGAGGGCTCCGGGAGCACAGGCAGTGTCTGGGTGTTGTGTGAACGTGTGTCAGTGTGCAAGGGACAGCAGGGACACAGGCATGGACACAGGCATGGACACAGGCATGGACACAGCCATGGGACACAGCCATGGGACACAGCCATGGGACACAGCCATGGACACAGCCATGGACACAGCCATGGGACAGAGCCATGGACACAGCCATGGACACAGCCATGGAACACAGCCATGGGATACAGCCATGGACACAGCCATGGACACAGCCATGGACACAGACATGGAACACAGCCATGGACACAGGCATGGACACAGCCATAGACACAGCCATGGACACAGACATGGACACAGCCATGGAACACAGCCATGGACACAGCCATGGACACAGGCATGGACACAGCCATGGACACAGCCATGGGACACAGCCATGGGACACAGCCATGGACACAGGCATGGACACAGACATGGACACAGCCATGGGACACAGCCATGGACACAGCCATGGACACAGCTATGGACACAGCCATGGACACAGCCATGGACACAGCCATGGGACACAGCCATGGACACAGCCATGGAACACAGCTATGGACACAGCCATGGGACACAGCCATGGGACACAGCCATGGAACACAGCCATGGACACAGCCATGGGACACAGCCATGGGACACAGCCATGGGCACAGCTATGGACACAGCCATGGACACAGCCATGGGACACAGCCATGGGACACAGCCATGGACACAGCCATGGGCACAGCCATGGGACACAGCCATGGACACAGCCATGGACACAGCCATGGGACACAGCCATGGGACACAGCCATGGAACACAGCCATGGAACACAGCCATGGACACAGCCATGGACACAGCCATGGACACAGCCATGGGACACAGCCAATACTGTCCCAAGAGCTGCCCCAGCTAATCCTGATCCCCACTCTGCTAATCCTGACTGCACTGGTGCTTGCAAAGCTTGTACGGAGTCACCAAAGATTTTCCTCTGGGGGAAACATTGTGTGAAAGGTTGAAGTGGTTTGATGTTTTCTAAATGAAGCATTTCAGATGCTCATATCAGAGTAACACTTCATCCCCAGCTTTTGCTTGGTTTTGTTTTTAAAGAAGCAAAACCTTTATTTTCTTTTTTACTTTTTAAATGCTTTCAGTACTAGTTAGAACAAATATTTTAAACCTATAATAAATAAATACTTCTCTTATTTCTTATTTTGATACAGTATACAATAAATATTGATTTTTTTTTTTAAACAAAACTATAATGCAAACAGCTCTGTTTTGGTTTGCTATGCTGCCAGGTCATGGCTCTTATATTTAGTCTCTAGTTTGCTGCTGAACCATGAGGTAATAGTAAAGTAACAGACCAGAATAAGTGACAGCATTACTGACTATTGAACAACACCACTGAGTATCAAAAATAAGAGACAAAAATAAGTGAACTTTCCTAGGAAGGAAAAGGATGTGTCATTCCAGGACCACCATCACATATTCTTGTGTGCTGTTATCAGCACTTTCAGTCTGAGATGTGATCCCTGATCCTTAGCAGGATGCTCCCAGGGTGCTCTGCTTGTAACAAGGAAGTCACCAGAACTATGTAACTGCAGTACCAGAAATCTGATTTCTGCTAGTAAGTCACTCTAATATTACTGCACCTTGAGCTATTTCTCTTTTTTCCCCTCTTTTGTTGCATGTCACGTTTTTACATTCTTGAAAGTTTTTCTCCCTTTCTTGTGAAGGCCAATAGCAAGAAGGAGCAGTTCTGAGCTCCTTTCTGGAACTTAGGAGGTGTGAAATATTCTCCTTATGGTCTAGTTAAACCTGTTAAACATTTGGCAAAGGTTTTTTATAGGTCTTCATGTAATCACATTAATGATACATTATTGCTTTCTCTATTTCTTCCTCCTTTTTTTGTTTTCCCCTTTGTCTCATTACAGTTGAAACTGTAGAGGAAAAAACAGCAGACTCCTTGCAAGATTTGTACAGAGCCTTGGAGCAGGCCAGCCTGTCTCCTTTAGGAGAACACCGGATTTCCACTAAGCTGGAGTATAAGAAATCTTTTATAAAGAGATGTAGCGATCCAGTAGTCAATGAAAAACTGCACCAGCTGCGAATTCTGAAAAGCACTTTAAAGGTGAGATAAAACAGGGAGGAAAAATCCTGCCCCAGGGTTGGATCGGGCTGTGTTGTAATCAGAGATTATTGTGTGCAGCTGGAGTCCAGGCTGAGCCCCAGTGTGCAGACGAGGGACACATGGGGAAGCATTGCTTGAAAAGAAGAGAAAAATGTGCCTGGGAGAGCAGTCAAAGTGAGGGAATCAGTTTCAATTTCTTTTTTTTTCTTGTATTTAATCTCAGTCAGCTGCTCCTCCTCTAGTTAGTTTAACAGAAGTTGACACCAAATTACTGGAGGAAACCTTAATCCCTGTTTTATCCCTGAAGGTTTTGAATTATCAAAACACATTCATTTTGTAATTGCCAAAGTCTAAAGTTAAACAAAGCCAGCCTTTAGAAGAGAACAGTATCTTTTGCAACATTTGACTGTTTTCTAATTGATGAGCTTGTCCAGGAGGAAACTGTATGCTTGGTTTCTGTGAAAACTGATAGGATCATTGTATTTAATCAGTAAAATTGATTAAATAAGTAGTGATAATAATAGATTTTAAAATTTATATGGTAATTTTAAATGTACTACAGCTCTTTTAGTCTCCTTGTCAGCTTCCTTTATTTGTTACAGCAGTTTCAGTTATGCCCTGATAGAGATTTCAGGAAACAATATGCTGGATTTCCTTAGGGACCCTGTTAACTATATTAAATTACCACATTTTAAGCCACCAGATAATTGTACAGTGCATGTTGTAACAGCTTTCATCAAAGAGGGCTTTATAAACATTAATTAATTTAGTTTTCTATCACCTAGAGAAGCATTTAGACAATATTATTTTCATGCTGTGGGGCTCCCATACTGAAAAGAAATCCTACATGTGCTTAACTTTCTGTACTGCATCATCTCCTTGAAGGCAACTTGCATTATTATCTTGGCATGTGAGTCTTTGTAGGGTTGAAGGCTGACAAAAAAGGGCAACATTCACAGCTGTCCATGGCTTCTTCAAGCATGAGAAACTGAAACAAAATCACAGTGCTCACAGACATCGGGGTGGCAGGAGGTTCACGCTGTAGTTTTGGGTTTGTACCACAGTGGGGTCTCACACCACAGCTGTGGTTCAGCATCAGCAGCCTGCTGCCATGCTGAATTGTCTCTTTGTTAGTGGTTATTGATACCTGAGATACATTCCTGGTTTTGTGCTTCTCTGGAACTTCTTTCCTTTGCACCAAGCAAACAATTTTTCCGTTCTCTGTCCATGAGCCATATTTTCTAAGCCTGTCAGCACTCTTGTTTGGACTGTGATTGGTGTAAATCATGCTTATGTACATGAGACCAATAATGGAAAATGCAGTGGCAGCAAGGAGCAAAGACAGATAATTGTTGTTTTCTGCATAGAGCAGCAGCATAGAATGACACATGCTTGGTTTGCAGTGACAACATGGTAACTTGTGACTGGCTGCGTTACAGCCCAGAGCTCCACCTCTGCCACACTACTGGCAATTGTATCAAGCAGTAGCTACTGCTATTACCTAATCAATTAGTCTTGCTTTTTATCAGTACCTGTGATTTCTCCCTCCTGAGTGCAGCCAATTGCACTAGCCTGTTGGCACTGATGTTCTGAACTCTCCTTGAATTTTATCCTACATAATAATATCCAGAGACAGTCCTCCAAACTGATTCTGGCTCTTGGTGTCCTATCTTCTAAGTCATTCATGAAAGACCCCTGTGCTCTCTGTCCTGTGACAACATAAAATCATTCTCTGATGACTGAGTATGAGCTGCCTGGCTGGTACTGCAGAGGTGTGGGACCAGCCATAATCTGTGAGAAATAAGTTATGGTAGCTCAAGCTGAGATCTGGTGATCAGGAGTTCCCATGGTTCCTTTTCCACAGCATGTTCTCAGCTTGCCCTCTCTTTCTGGAAATGAATATTCTAGCAGGTAGTGTTAATTTGCTATTGTTTGCACAGCAATGAAAGCACTGCTTAAGGAAGATGTCTCTGACCCTTCTGATCTGTTCCATCATACACAGCTTGATATTTCCCCTTGCCATGCTAGCCAGAAGGATTTAATTACTCATAGTATGGACATGGAAAATATGAGTTAGCCATGAGGAGTGTGAAACCCATCTTGCAGGGAGGTTGGAGGGAGGTTGCTTCGGTGGCCATGCCATTCCTGTGCTGAGTAGCAGTGCTGGGAACCAGAGGTGTGAGCTGTGTTTCCAAGGATTATGGCTGTGGCACCCAGTTTCCACCACTTGCAACAGCTGTGAGTGGCTGTGGGTACATCTGAGGCTTACTGTGACACTCAGCTCTGTGACCCAGTCGCCAGAGAGGGACTGTGGGACAGTCACATCCCTGCCTCCATGGGGCATAAGGAGGCAGCAGCAGCTATATTTTCCCTTTTTCTGCCTTCTCTTTGCCACGTCAGTGGTGGAAGAGGTTGCAGCCAGCCAGCCCTTGGCATGCAGCAGATCTGTAGTGCAGATGAGCTGTCGTTCCTGTGAGTCTCCTTGCACAGCCCTTGCAATGCAGAGCTCAGGTGCCCCATGGCAAGCCTGGTGAGGAGGTGTAGCTGTGCTGGCGGGCAGGAGGCTGGGCGTGTGCGTGTGTCTGCATCCCACACACCCACGCAGTACTTGTGATGCTGATCGAGAGCAAACAGATGGCACTTTGCTGTGTGAAACCCACCCTGAGAAATGCAGCAGCTAATAGGAAATAGTACAGGACTTGCTTTTTCTGGGGCTGAACAAGGGGGCAAGTGGTGGAATAGGGACTCTTACTGAGGGTTCTGGACAAGGCAAGGGAAGCCCAAGTCCCACAGGGGAATGTGGCACACCCTGTAGAAAGGCTCTGTGTGTGAGTGCTCATAGATCAGGTAGTCCCTGTGCTTTCAGGGGCTCTGAGGCTTGAGTTCTACCCCCCATTCTCTGCTTCCACCGATGTGATTGATTTTGTCAGTGACTCATCACCTGCATTAACTCTTTGCTTATTCCTTTTCTCTCACAGGCCAGGGAAGGAGAAGTAGCCATTATAGATAAAGTTCTGGATAATCCAGCCTTGACGTCTAGAGACTTTCAAGAATGGAAAGAAATGTACCTTGATCTCTTCATGAACACCTATGAAAGCAGCCCACGGAGGGACTCTGTTAATGGCTCCTCTGAGGTTGAAGCACTTATAGCCTCGTTGGCACACACTCACTCTTACATAGAAACTCATGTATGAAAGTCTCTCTTTTTGTCCATTTGCTACACCCCAGCCCTTTACTTAAGTGCAGAAAGTAGTTTTTATATCAATATGTGAGAGCTCTAGTAAATTATATTTTAATGTTACTCAGCTGTGTGAAACTTTCAGTGGTCAATGATACCACTTCTTTAATGAGGATTTGTATATTTTATAAGCTACCAATGCTCTGCTTGTGTTTACTTTCTGTGAATTAAAAAAACATGATCTTTAGCTATTGAAAAAAAGTATGTAAAAGCATTTTTGGAAGACTGTGGCCTTCATGCAGGAAGTTCCACATGCTATAAAGCTTTTGTTATCAAAGGTCAGTTTTACAATGATATTTTATATTATATAATTCCAGTATTGCATTGCATTTTTGGAGTGCAGGTACTGTTTTGGTGGTGGGAGAAAACCAATTTTTATATTTAATGAGAAACTCTAGGAGTTTTCTTAAATAACAGGGGGAAAGTATAATGCAGTGGTTGTATTTCAGTTTTGTCAAACATATAAAATGGTGAAAATCAGCAGACAAAAAGTAACTAATGTGAGTTTAAGTGTCAAAAGGTCAGGTCTTATTTCCTTGTGCTTTTTTTAAAGCCTCTTGCTAAGGTTTACCATCACTGCAAAGGAATGCTGGTTTGTATTAAATTAAGACCAAATTGTGTGTTGTCTCTTAATCACATTAGGTTGATTAAAAAAAAATAGTCATGGTACTGTGATTGATGATGCTTTTGCACTGAAGGTATCAGTATAATGTGCAGATTTGCAAAAGGGAAAATGTAGACTTTCAACATCGTTGGTAGCAGCGTTTCTTTAGCCCTGAACAGCAGCAGTGGAAAAGGTTTGCAATGAAATGCTTCAAATCTGAGATGCTTTGAAGATTCCCACAATAGAAAAGGAGTGAATTGGATTTTTCAAGTAGTTTCCTATGTGTTTTCTCAGCTGTGAAATTTGGCTGTATTGTATGCAGGGATTATGTCTGATGAGAGCAGAATTGAGCATGGAACCTGAAAAATAACCAAGGAGTAAAAAAGCCTCTGGTTTGCTTTTGAAGGGGAAGGGATGTCTCTGGGTTCTGCTGAGTTCACAAGGCAATTAAAATGTTTTAAACTTCCATGAGATTTGTTATCTGCTAAAGACAACCCAGTGAATATGAGGGGAAATAGCTCCTTAGAGTTAGGCACATGCCTGAAATAAAAGTGTGAGAGAACTCTTAAATCATATATTTACTTTTTATGAACTTGGTTTTAAAAAATGTTAAGAGCATGACAAAGTATTTCTGCTGCTCTTCAGTATTTTGCTGCATAAGTTAGGACTCATGATTTAATAGTGCTCATGTGGAAAGGAAAAGCCTCCTGTATACTTTCATGAGTTGTACTCTTAACCAACATGAGACTATTGCCTGTACAGCTCAGTGAATGTACTTTAAACTTTATGAACTCTGATATTTCCTGGCAGTTATATCCATGAAGGGATGAAGGAAAGAATGGACAGAAATCCTTTCTTTCTTTCTTTCTTTCTTTCTTTCTTTCCTTCTTTCTTTCTTTCTTTCTTTCTTTCTTTCTTTCTTTCTTTCTTTCTTTCTTTCTTTCTTTCTTTCTTTCTTTCTTTCTTTCTTTCTTTCTTTCCTCTCCTTCCTTTCTCCTTCCTCTCTCCTTTCTCTCCTTTCTTTCTTTCTTGCTTTCTCCCCTTTTTCTCTCTTGCTCCCCTTTTTTTTTTCTTTTCCTTTTTCTACCCCTCATTTTCTATCTTGTTATTGTGTTTGGATTGCAAATGTTCTGCAGATTTTGCACAACTGTACAGAAGAGTGGCCTTTCTGTAGCCCATTTTCAGTAATCCTATATTCAAGTTGTCTGGATGACAAATCATGTATTAACGTTTGTATAGAATTCTGGATCCAGTGTAAGATTTGTACTATTAGAAGAATATTGTTTGTATAAACTGGACATTTATTTACTGCATGGGTACTGACTTGTATATTAAATTTGTGAGGTTTTTGTAAATTTCTCTTAAAAAATGCTTGACTTGAAATGGATTGTGCTATTGTTCCAAGCATTTAGATTCTCTTGCTATTGTTTTACTGGACCAAAAGTAAATATATTCATATGAAAAACTCTTTATATCTGATGGATGTATATGCACATTGTGTAGTTGATTCCTTGTCAAAACCAAGGCAGTTCAGAAGACTTAGATCTGTTGCTATGCAACAGCCGTTCTGCCTGCACTTTACATTAGTAAAGTTAGCTTGATTGCTTTAAAGGTGAAAATGAAACATTACAGTTTTTTAAGCTAGTCTAGTGACAAAGAACATGTGTCCTCTCCATTGTGCTGCCTTCTTTTAAAACTATTAAATGTTCTTCTATATATATTTTTATTGTATTAACTCTCAGCCTAGAAAGGGAACACTGTAAAATGAAGTACAATAAATTTAGCTTTTAAATGAACATTTATGGCTCAAGATTCCCTTTAGTCCATACCAGATTGATTCTGTGGCATCTGACCGTTTTGTCTACATTTCACATATTCATGTACCCCAGTGTGATTTCAAATGCTGCCAGTGTGGCCAAAAGGGAGTGACACAATTGCTGATTTGTATGTAAGCAGACACTGAGTAAGGACTTCTGAAAACCTTCAGTTACCTCCCTCCCCTTTGTACTCTTTGATGAAAGTAAACCTTTTTGACTGCTGGGTTCTCTCATGTAGCAGCTCAACAGCAACAAAGCATTTTAGCCTTATGAACAGGTGTGATAAACAGCATATGGTGCTGAGGTAAATGCCAAGGCATCAGAAACAGCTTGTTACTCCTCTAAGAAACTTCTTGGAGGCTAAGGATAAAGATACCCACTCAACTCTGGCCATCTGAGCCAATACAGGGTTTGGATACAAAAGAATTGTACATCACCAGCAGTGCGCATCTTTAAAATGACACAAATTAAGCATCTGGAAGGTGTTCTACAACAAAGGCCACTGAGAGAGAAATGGCTTCTATCAAACACTTTTTAACTTTCAGCTGTAGCTGAGTCTACATAGTGAAAAGTCCATGCTTTCTGCCAGTAATTTCATGCCGGTTAGCTAAGACATTCTTGCCTAGTAAGTAGTATATCAAATAATACTTTTTCCTTGGCAATGCTTGCTACTAATTCTTGTAGGCATCAATTTTCTAGTCTTTATACAGCTCTCGCTTAGCCATAGCATAAAAACTCAATAACACTTACCAGCTGGGAAAATTACCTCTGATTAAGAAAACAGAAAATATGGATTATATTTTTTAATATTTAAAAATCCCACTTGCAACACCTACTAATTGCTATCTAGGTATTATCCAAAAGTCAAGGATTACAATTCTCACTCATCGCCTCTAAGCGTGCTGCTTGCTACATCCTTGCTCAGTGAGATCAGCTTCCAGCTCTATAAATCCTAGATGTGTTTCCTGTGCTGGAGCCAGATTTTCTTGCCTGTTTCCACCAAGCTTTTGGCTTATCCAAGCAAAACTTCCACTTTCATGTTCAGTGCCAGTGCCAGTGCAGGAATGCCCTGCTCACTCATCTCCTGGGATAGATGTTCCTCAGCATGGGAGCTCAGCAGTTGGGCAGCTTCTTCTGCTGGCTGTCGCTGTCCTGCTCTTCGGCCACCTCAGATAGCTGGAGCACAGCACACTGCAGCCCACACCACGGCAGAGGGGCCTTGCAGATCTCTTCCCAGCCATCGTTGTCAATGTCATAGCCAACCACGTCTTGCGTGGAGACCTCCAGCGAGTTTTGCCATTTCTTTCCCCCAATAAGAAGAGCTGTTTCCTCTACCACTGCCAGGCCATAGGAGAATCGATCGTAGACCAGCGGTTTCAACCGAGTCCATTGGTTTTGATCTGGGTCATACCTTTCTATTTCAGAGAAAGGTTCATACAGTCCCAGAAAAGTGAAAATGGATCCCCTGATTGTTGCCATCTGATGCCCAAACCGAGCAATGCTCATTGGGGCACATTTCACCCACTGCCCTTCAGGTGAGCTCAGAGAATAAACGTCATTGCTTGTGCTGGCTGAGGCCGAGTACTTGCCCCCAGAGATGTATATGGTGTTCTTGCAGACAGCACTGGCATGACCGTGTATCCTGCATGGCAATTCCCTGGCCTTCCTCCATCTATCTCTGCTGATGTCATAGACTTCCACAGATGAATGCAGCAATCCATCCTCACCCCTTCCACCAATGGCAAAGATATCCCTGCCTAGCACACAGCAAGAAAACTGGCATCTCTTTTCCAGCATGCCCGTGATTTGGGTCCACGTGTTAAATCTCGGATCATACCGATGGACCTTGTTTGTAACCGATAAGGTATTTCCAATTTTAGCATCACCAAGGGTACCACTTTCTATCTCTCCTCCCAAGATATAGAGAAAGTTCCCCACCACACACACGCTGTGGTTCTGCACCCTGTCCTGCAGCTGTGTGAGGGTTCTCCATTTGTGATTGTAAACATCGAAGGCCACCACATCAGTGACGAGCCCCTCGCTTGCTGTGCCTCCCCCCAGCAGAATGATCCGAGTTTTCTGGTTCCTCAGTGTGGTGGACTTATCCTGCACGACAGGCTGTTTGAATACAGATGTGTGATAATTTATCGCTTTTATGATCAAGCACTTAATACCTGCTGAGAGGGACACTTCTGACTGTGTGTAGGTTTTTCTCAGCTCTTCCACTGGGATAAGACCATATCTTATGTGCTCTAAAAGGCTGCTTGCATGATCCAGCCTGGATTTATCCTGCTTCAACCACAGCAGGACAAGATTCAACAGGCGGCGTTCTTCCACCATGGGGAGATCTGGTGATTGAATCACTGCTAGCAAAGACCTGAAGCTCAGCTCAAGAAGTCCTGACAAATCCAAGTCCAGCAGCTTCCAGACATTTTTGATAATGTATTTTTCTGCAGCTGCTAGGGCGTCTGGCAGGTAGAACTTCCTGGCCACATTGGCAGAGTAGCAGCAGTTTTCCAAGGCAAGATTGTTAACTAAGTACTGATTGCACAAGCCGATAGCATCAGTGACTTGCAAGTAGCTTGCAGCTTCCAAGGTATCCTCCAGACTTTCAAAGGAAAGGGGCAGGAAGGATGTGTAAATGAAATCCAGGATGTGCTGGAGCCCAGTGGGTGAGACAACTTGTAGGTGAATGACACTGGCTTTAGACTCTTGGGTGTAATTTTTGAACATGGCTCGGAAGTAGTCACTGGAGCATGCCAACAAGGACTTGTGTGCAGGAAACTCGTTTTCTTTCACTTTCAGCAAAATGTCACAGAGAAAGCCCTCTGATCTCAGGCTTTGGTATTGAGCAAGCACGGTAGTGCAGTGTGCTTTGCAGTAGGACAGGAAGTAGCTCATGGCAGAAAATGCAATGCTTTTCTCTTGAGCTATTAGAGCTAAAATGCAATTAGATATTGAAACAGCTGCCTTACTCAAGAGCCATTGCTTGAATGCCCAGCAGACCTCCAGCTGTTAGAGAAAAGCCCAACCCAAAATAACAAGTCAGTATCTTGCCTGGCATAGGGGGACAGTTAGTAGATTTGTAGTGAATTCAATTCATTCCTTTATAGAAAAAATAGCCGAATGTCATATCAGCTGTAGGATGCTTACTTTTCTTGCCTCCACAAGTTGCACAAGGATGAAGGGTCCACAGCTGTGCCGAGCCCTTGCTTGGCTGGCCATCAGGTGACAGATGAGGGAGCTAGATGACAGTCCCAATAAGTGGCCCTTCGTGTCTGCTCAGCCGTCGCCCCCAACCCTTCTTGCTCCACAGGCAGATCAAAGGGATCCTCTCTGGCTGCCAGCGCGTGGCTCTGAGCAGACACAGATGAGAAGAGAGCGCTGACTTTTCTCCTCTTCTTTGTATGTTGAACTCGGATCAGTTTAGACGTCACCACCCCGGGACAGCAGCCCCCTTTCCGTCCTCGTTCCGCACGGCCCTGGGAAGCCTCAGCTGAAGATCAAATCAGCACCCAGGGATTATTATGGGAAGATTTTTCTGAGCCCATAAATCTTTCCCCGGCAGCCACTAAGACAACCAAAATACCATGATTAGTCAGTGGTTCGATTTGACATGCATTTCTGGCTCTTTGCTTCACGTGACACCTCCATAGCTCACAGCTACCAGAATAGCCACAGGCTCATCCCCTCGTCCCCCTCGCCTGGGAGCCAACCCCGGGTGGTTGAGAAATGGGGCCAGGGACTGGGCAGAGAGAGGAGCTTCCAGTGACAGCCACAGCCAAAGCAGCTGACTTGGAATGACCTGGCTGGATATCACAAAGGTAACACATTTGCACAAAGTGGTGATAAAAATAGATTCCCCCAGTTCGGCCATAATAAACCAAATTCTGTTTATAGAGGAGGCTTTGCATAATTCTGCTCTCAGTTACCAGCTGGGAACCAACCCAGAGCCCCCAGGGGTGGGCCAGCGCTGTCTTGCTCAACTTCCTCACTTTCAGTTTGTCCCCAATTAGAAGCACTTATACAGGGATTATCCCTGATTTTCACCTGGGCACTTCAGGGTCTAATTTCTACCAGGAATAGCAGCTCTGGGCAGGCTACACATTCTGACCTCTTGAAGCTTGCTTTTATTTCTTCTTTTTTTCCCTGCATAACTCTGGATGAAGGTGTTCAGGAATCTTGTCCCAACACCTTTCTTTCCAAGTCAAACACTCTCAGGACTTGCAGAGCTTGCCAGGGTTGATAAATGCCTGATCATTTTGCTGCACTGTGAGCCAGCAGACTTGGGAGCAGAGAAGGATCGCACAGGACTGGAAAATTTTGCTTTTTGCTTAAGCCCAAGGTAAAGCCTTTTTACTGTATCAATTTATATTTATTTATGTGATGTCATTAAATTCTGTCTTACCCCTGTAGCTAAGCAGTGTTTGGAGATGACTGGATCCTAATATGGACTGTGCATGCTGTGTGCCTGTTCCAGTGAGCTTAAACTGTCTTGCTAAACAGACTGATATCTACACATGCTCTGCTTTTTGTGGAGAAGGACTCCAAAAACATTATTTTTTTGTTGCTGTATAGCTCTGAAATTTGAGTTCCTGCTAGAATCCCCTTTCCATCATGACCATTTATAGACCACAAATCTTTTGCTAAAAGATCTTTCCCTTTGCTAGCAACACAACATGTATGGGCAGCAGGGATGAAGGAGAAAAGGGATGCTTGTTTCTTTTTCCCAGCAGTTTTGCCAATGTCCAAGTTGGGACAACACTAAGGTATTTCAAGTGTTAGAGAAAATGATTCCAAGCTTCAGTTTTGATACTTCTCCTGTTTTGGAAGTAGAGACCAAAGGCCAGGAACCTCTATCACCCCTCAGCAGTCATGAGTCCTGGTGATGAGGGACCAGGCCTTAAATGCTCCCACTCCCACTAGAGACACTGCTTTCCCCGATTAAATCCCACCAGGTACCAAATTTCTGTAACACGAGGTGCAGATAAACCTCCACTGTTTTGAAATAGCAGGTGGGCACTGTCCAGCACAATTTCCCTGGGAGCCTGAGGGGCGAGTCAACAGTTCTTGTCCCCCTCCAGCCCTTAGCCGGCGCTGCCATAGCTGCTCTGGCACAGCCAGAGGTGATGCACAGGCAGCAATGGGGAAAAGCCAAAACCAGAACAGCAGAGAGCTGTCTGTGGCCCAGGCCAGCCTCCCTCACTGTGTGACCTCCCAAGCAGAGACAGCTCAGCAGAGGTGAGCACTGGCTGGGCAGGGGCTGCAGCAGCCAGAGGGACCCTGGGCACAGAGCTGGGCTGGTCCACCAGCCCCGGGCATCACTGAAGTGCCAGTGCTGGTAGGGCTGGGGACACAGAAATCAATCCACTTCCCCTGGACCCAGATTTGACCACAAAGAGGTCAAATGTATGGCTTGGCCAACTGAGGGTATTGGCATTAGCAGCCAAGGAATATTTCTGACCCCCATATGACACTCCTGCCTCCCAAGTGAGGCACTGCTGTCTAAGGCAATGTGCCTTTTCCTCACTCCCAGCAAGGCCAGGCCACTGCCTGCTCTTGCACCAGAACGTGTAAAGTACCAGCACAGCTCCAGCCACAAGCTCTGCAATTTCAGAGAGGCTCAGTCTGAACATCCCTGTTAACCCAACCAATGCCCATGTTAACCCAGCCAGCTGTGCATCACTTGCTTTCCAAATGAATTCCATCCATGGGGGCTGTTTATACAGGTCAGTTCCTGGCGCTGATTTAACTGAACTGATTTAACACCAGTGCCAGGTAAGCAGGTCCTATAATTGTATGCAGATTTACTGTGCTATTCTCTCTCAGACCTACTTCATCTTCATGGCAAGCCAGCTAATGGAAGTAGTAAGAATCATGATCCTTATAAAGCTGTTTATTTGCCTGGAGATTTTTTTTTTTTTTTTTTTGCTTATAATTGAAATAAAACCACATTCTTTCCAATCCCTTGCTCTGGAGTGATAAAAAAAATTATCATTATCAAAATGAGGTTTTTCCCTGCTTCACTTCCAGGCAGTTAGCCTTATCTAACTAGGGAGCCTGCTCAGCCAAGATCCTCCTTTGTCAACAAACAAATTATCTTCATGCAGAAGCTCAGGTCTCCAGCACCTTTGGAGGAATATTTAATGTCCATTACTAAGAGAACAGACAGTGACTATACAGCTGACTTACAAATCTCAGCACGAGACCTAGCACTAAGTGGGATGCAGTCAAACCAGGATCTTATTTTCCTTGGGTGTAATTTGGAAGATCAGATCTAACGTTTGACTCACTAGATGGTGCTTAAAATTAGGGAAATATTAGTGTTTCAATGATGCTGATTTGGTGGGATAGATAATACATTTTTAATCATGTGCATCATTTAGACTTTAAATTGGATTTAGATTTCAGGCTTTCAGCATATTTTCTGTTGAAGTGACTGCTCTATTACAGTAGGCAGTCTGAAATAAAAAAAAAAAACATTTAGATGTGTGCTGTGAAAAATGTTGGCTTCCACACATGCAGAGGTTTTTGCTATAAAAAATTGAAAAATGTCCCAAGTTGCAATGCCATGTTCAGTTTAATATTGCAAGTAGGCCATTGGTTAATAAACAATTTAATTAATATTTTAAATGGTGCAAATTATTTTTAAGGGTAAATATTATAAAAAGAGTTGTATAAGTGATACTAGGCTCATTACTAACAAGTAGGTTACTGTAAAATATTAGTTATAAAAACCCACAGCAGAAGATTATCAAGCTACATTTTGTTCCAAAAGAAATCAGTGCAGTCCAGGGGACAACAGAGTAAATATTTCAGATGCTTGATAATGTACTGCATGAACAAATAACAGCAAAATGAGCCAAGTAATGAGTATAGCCATACAGGTTTCCTAGAAGTGCTAATCAGAAAGATCATATTGATTTAAGTTGTCTTGTAAAAATCTTTGGACTCCAGTCTGTTCTTCATCCTTGAATAATCATTCATGGTAGTATTTGGGTCAGCACATCTATTTAAAGCAAAGCATGTTTAGCCCAGGAAAGAAGTTCTTAAGAGCAAAACAGTAAGAGGGAGGAATTTTCTTGCAGCTAAAAGCAATGTCTGGTGAGATCATGTCTGTGTATAAAAGCAAAAGAGAAGGTTCTCAGCTTGCATGGGCTGAGGCCGTGAGGTTTCCATTTTGGCAGGGCGAGGCTGGGGTTGCTGGTGGCTTTAAGCCCCGTGCAAGGGGTGCCCACAGGACACTGTCCCTGTGAGCTGGGGAGTTCTGCAATCCCTCAGCCCCCTGTGCCCACCCCTGTGTCACCTCAGAGGGGTCTGTGTCTGGGGACAGTGCTGGCAGAAAAGCTGAGTGCAAGGCTCTGTCTGGCCCTGGGCAGAGGTGAGGTGTGGCATGGTCAGGAGTCAGAGCAGGGACCCCAGCCAAAGCTTGCTGCAAGACCAGGCTGCTAAGCCATGGCTGTGTGGCACTCTTCTGTGCTCTGTGGGAAAAGAGGAGGAAAGGGGGAAATACCACTGGCACACCTGGGCTGGGAGTGACCACATCCCAGCTGGGTTACTCCAGCACCAGCTACAGCTGTGCAAGAAAGCATCCCGTGTCAAATTGTGAAAGGCAACATGAAATAACAGACTTTCAATTGGACAGTGCCTCATTTATCTCCTCTCTCTCTCTCTCTCTCTGTTTTTGCAGGTTTTGTTTGCCTCCCATGAAGACAGAAGCTGTTCCAGCTTCCACTGCTATCACCAGAGAGCTTCCCTGGTGGATAAAAAAAAGTTGGAAAATTTTAAACTTGGGTTCCCATTCCAGAGTAACTGCAGTGGGATGAGTCAGGCACTGCAGCCACAGGATAATGGAGGAGAATGTGTATTTTAATGAGCCCATTTCAGAGCAGATGCACTAATAGCTTTCACAGCATCTCACAGCTGAGGGTGGAGGGCTGCTTGGGGTTCATCTGTGATGGGCAGATGGCACCAGAGATGCTCTGCACTGAGCCCTGGCTTCCAGCCCTGGGCAAGCAGTGCTGCCTGTGCTGTTGCTGGGGCAGAGAGGGACCTGCAACCCCTGCCCAGGGACATCTTCCCTCTGCCTCCAGCTTGGGGGATGCTCACAGACACCTCTGGCTGCTGACTTTGCACAGCATGGGTTTGTACAGCCCTGGCTGAAGCTGCTCTGCTCACGGGGTCCTGTCTGCACGTATGGAAGCCCTCCTGCTATAAAAGGAACATTTCTGACCCCCATGTGGCATTCCTGCCTCCCAAAGACCTTGGGGCTGGTTGAACTCTGTTCCCAGCCCTTATCTGCTTGGGCAGTGGGATGGCTGATGTGGTGGCAACAGCTGGGCTGTGTGACTCCTCGTGGCAGGAGAGCTGAGCTTTCCCCTCTGCCTGGCTGGACACAGCCACCCACCTGCACACAGCCCAGCCCACCCTGGCCTGATCTCCATGGTGATACCTGCATCCAGCACAAAACCCCTACAGCTGGGATACACCTCAGGTCTAAGAAAAGGATAAGGACATGAGGACTAGCCTGACACATTCAATGATCTTTGAATGCATTTACTTGTAATTAGGAGGAGGATGAGTTTTTATAGGGATAGAGAAGTAAGGTACAACCAGTGCTCTGAGAGCACAGAGGAGAAAACTG